CCACACAGTTTATCAGGAGTTATTTTAGTTGGACAGGACTTTACAAGGCATATTAAATAAGTTTATTATCAGTTTGTTAATAAAATACTCCAAAACCTTTTTGTATTCTCCATAAAATGACATAGCTTTAAAGCTACAACATTTTGGAAAGACAAATTATCCTGTCTCATTGCTTTAGGGTTGGAGAAAATTAAAAAGCCATTTATCACCACCATCTAGCTCCTTTTTGTTGCATGTGTAATAAAACAGATTCAATTCAGGTGTTCAACAAAATTTTAATTTCACTTAGCAATAGGATTGCATCTTTCAGTACCATTCAAATGTCATTTTCTTCGGCAATAACCAGAGTCTTTTACTTGGAAAATCAGAGAATTCCTGGAAAAGAGATTCTACTGTTCTCTGGCTCAATTTTATTCAATGACAGCATGATTTTTAGAAAGGTGATAGGGATGTTACCTCTCTTTAAATCTTAAAAAGTCTTGGTAAGATTTACCTCCACAGTTGCTTGAGTTGCCACGTTAGCCAAGCTGCCTAAGTACAGAGCGGTACCATAGGTTTTCTACCATATGACAGTATTTATCCAGCATCAGTGCTGTAACATGCTGCTGAGCCTTCTATCCTATTCACCCACCGTTTACTGTCACTCAAATGCTCATAAATGTCCAGGGCTCACTAATAAAGTGGTGTGAATAGGACAGAGAAGTCCCGCTTTTAAATTGTCTTCATAAAAAAATGATCTTCTAAAGCCACTGACACACAAGTTGAACATATATGGTGAAAATAGTGGTTGCTATTTTATGCAAAACAAAACAAAACTGTTAGTGATGGGGGCACCTGGGTGGCTCAGTGATAGTGTCTGCCTTTGGCTCAAGGTGTGATCCTGGGGTCCTGGGATCGAGTCCCGCATCAGGATCCCTGCAAGGAGCCTGCTTCTCTCTCTGCCTGTATCTCTGCCTCTCTCTCTCTCTCTCTCTCTCTCTCTCTCTCTGTGTGTGTGTGTGTGTGTGTGTGTGTGTGTGTCTCACGGATAAATGAATAAAATCTTTAAAAAACAAAACAAAACTGTCAGTGATCTTCAGGGAAATTCAGCATTTCCTAACCAAATGTGTTAGATCCTCTATCTGAACTAATCACAGAGCTTTACTTTCACCTTTCTATAAGGCAGCATGATTTGTCTCAGAGGAACAAGTACTTTAGAGCTAGCAAACATGGGTTCTCCTTTTGCTACCTACTCTAGCTGTGAGACCTTGGTCTTTAACATCCTTCAAAAATGGGCATAATGACTAGCTGTCATGTTGTTACAAAGTTTGAAAGAGACAGGGCATGGGGTCTTAAAGATAGATGGAGCTCAACCTATGGTTTTCATCATTCAAAAAAGCATCTATGAAGCATATTCATTCTGTAGGTCAGCCCTGAGCTGAGAATGTACAAATGGATAAGCCTTACTCCTTGCTGTGATAACATGCATAACTTAGCAGGGAAAAAAAAATAGGCATATAAATAAATGGTGATGATTCTCAATCCTGGGTGCTATTTTGAATGTGTGGAAAAGATGGAATGGTGCACAAAACAGCATGTCAATTGCCCTGGGGTGGTGAGGGAGGCACATCATAGAATGCTTTACAAAATAAAGTTTCACAGTGTCTAGAAAAATGATAGAAGGAGAATGATGGCCATTTGTTAAGATTGTTTTTTTTTAATACAAATATATTCTGAGCACTAAGCTCTCCAATGTTAAAAGCTTTAAGTTTTAGCTGTACATTTCTCCCATGATTCTTCTTACTGCAGTTCTCAGAATTCCATCTGGCTGGCCTCAGCCTGAGGAGCTGAAAGGGCCAGGCAGTGGTTACCTATAATTTGTTAGTCATGGTAGAACTAGCAACACACTGTCTGTGTAGCCAATAATATGGAATGCATGGAACCTGCTTGGTCCCAAGGGGAAGATGTTTGGTGTTTTTAAAAATACCAGTTATTATCACCATTTGGTAGCTCCTAATACCCACTGCAAGTATCATCCCCTCAAGTCCTGCTTACACATTACTATCAGGGAAAAACAGAAATTCCCTTGTGTCTGTCGGTCTTTAGTATCAAATAATTCACTATATATGTCTTAGAAGAGTAAAAGAGTAATTACATATTGTAAAAAGCTCTGTCTGTTCAAAATTTACACACTAGAAGAAACTGGCTGACTTTGCATGTGTGGGGTCAAATTCTGTGAGCACTTCAAGGTATCGTCCACATTTAATTTAAATGTCACTAAAACTTTAAGTGGGACGTTACTGGAATAATACAGGGGAGAATCATAAAGTAATTAGTTTAAGGGAGTGATAAATTAAAAGAGATTAATATTTCTTTGTTTTAATTATATGGGCTGGGCTAATGGTGAGGAAGCTATCAGGAATTCGAGTTATTCATTAATCTTGGTTAGCAAGCATCATTGATCTTTACCCAAAAAGGACTGTTGGTACTTTCTAAACCAGTATAATATATACAGCAAATGAAAGGATTTAATACTTTAAACAAAAGAAACACAAATAACAAATAAGCAAATAGAAAAAAATGGTTGTTTTCACTAGTAAAGAAATACTCATAAATCTGAAGTATCATTTTATATCTATTATCAATTTTTTAAGTTAATAATGTTAGTACCCATAAAATTGTGGTGAAATTGATATATATGTATTTTATAGTACTTATATTATTTGAAAATACATTAAATGGAATATATATGTGTGTGTTTTAATTAATTTTATATTTTTACAATATAAAATATATTTTAATTTGATATTGATCACCAAATTTATATTAGACTTGCAAATACACACCTTGTAGCACTGACTATATAACCAAAAGAAGTAATCTGAGTAATTATTCTTATTTAGTGCTAAAAATGCTAAAATAGATATTCTGTTTAATCATATTAGTTTATTTAACAAACACTTATGTAGCTTTTGCCATGTAACAGACACTTTTCTAAACATTGTATTCACTGAATCCTTATAACAATCCCAGGAAGGAAACACTGTCCTGATCTCAAAGGTAAGAAATTGATATGCAGAGAGCTGTTGATAACTTGAGCAAGGTCACATTGATCCATGTGGTGGAGCTGGGATTTTAATTCAGGCATCTGGCTATATGGTCCGGCTCCTAAATGTTATGCTGCTTTTCAACTGTCAATCAAAACATGTTCAGGGAACATGCATAGTGCTCAACACAATAAAGGATGCCAGGAAACATAGGACACAGTCCTTAACTTGAAGAACATTCTCTAGTTTTTAACTATAGTGCCCAATTCTCCTTCAACCTCAGAAAAATATCATCCATGTCAACTAAATACTATCCCAGAGAGATAACACTTCTTGTCCATAATGACTGAAGTTCTGGATGAAAATCTGGAGCCTACAGCTTGGCTCTCTGTGACAGTGTTAGTGTTTTCAGAAGTGTGTGCTGAGAAATTGTGGAGCTGTGTGAGGGTGTCTAATGTCTGCAAACATTTGACTCAGGTTTCTCTTTATTCACACATTTGGGTATATATACCTTCATACCCTATATATATGTATGTAACTAACATTACAACTAAGATATTAAATCAATACTACAAACTGAAATTACACACTGAAACACATTTTAGCATACATTTTAACACATAGGAAATCTACAAAGCATTACTTTTTGCTATTGGATTGCTGTTGTACGTATCTCAGATGAACCTCTGTCTCTACTTGAAGAGTATTTTGACATTACAAAACACATTCTTATGAATCTGAAAAATTGTGACCATTTGGGGAATGATATAACATGATGATTAAGAATAATGGCTCTAGAATCAGACAGTTTAGATGTTATCTCACGCACAGGTATTTACCACCTAACTTTGGATAAGTTTCCAAATCTCTCCATACCTTTGTTTCTTCACCTATTAATGGGACAGTGCATACCTCATAAGATTAAGAGAAGTAAACAAATAAACTTAGAAAAGGGATTCAGGAAATATGAGTGTTCACTGAATGATAAGCATTATAATTTTTATTGCAACTGCTTGTCTATAAAATCAGTCTTATAACAATGCAAAATCCAAAATATGGATTTACATTAAATTCTAAGGTTGGTATGCAACCAGAAGCCTCATTTTTCAAGGTTTTGTTTTCACCGAATAGCTGAATTGTTAATTGTATAAGTAAGTGATGCAAGTATAAATTATTATGAAATTTTATACTAATTAAATACTTCTCCAGTATTCAAATTTACTGTTTAAAAATTTGTCCTAAGAATGTTCTTCATTTAAAAAGTAATAGGGAGGGGATCCCTGGGTGGCGCAGCGGTTTGATGCCTGCCTTTGGCCCAGGGCGCAATCCTGGAGACCCCGGATCGAATCCCACGTCAGGCTCCCGGTGCATGGAGCCTGCTTCTCCCTCTGCCTGTGTCTCTGCCTCTTCCTCTCTCTGTGTGTGACTATCATAAATAAATAAATAAATAAGTTAAAAAAAATAAAAAGTAATAGGGATCCCTGGGTGGCGCAGCGGTTTAGCACCTGCCTTTGGCCCAGGGCGCGAATCCCACGTCGGGCTCCCGGTGCATGGAGCCTGCTTCTCCCTCTGCCTGTGTCTCTGCCTCTCTCTCTCTCTCTCTCTCTCTCTCTCTCTCTCTCTCTCTGACTATCATAAATAAATTTAAAAAATTTTTTTTAAAAATAAAAAAATAATATACTGCATCATAATGAAATTATGAAAATTACCTCTTCCAAATATTTTTCATGCGTTTCTGTCATTTCAAGGTACTTTTGAATAAGACATATTGAAATCAAATTATAAGGAAATATTAACCCCTTATCTGGAGAGTACCAGATTTTGGTGGACAATTCTAGTTATCACCAAGGAACATTTAATCTCTACTGTATTTCTTTCAAGATTAGTCCTTTTCTCAACAATAGGACTGATAAGAATGTACAAAGACATTTTAAATAAATGATAAGTGTTTGTTTGTTCTTTCTTTTGTTGCAGTCATTCTCAACACAGCACTGCAACCCGCCAGCCTTCAGTGACTCTCCAACGGGCCATCTCCCTGGAAGGGTAAGATATGAATGATATGGAGTCTTCTATTAAACTAAACCTCAGCCTCTTCACTAGGGCATAAAGAAATTTTCTTTCTTCCTTCCTTTCCTTTCTTCCTCCCTTCTGTTAGCAAATATCTATAAAGCTTATGTTATATGCCAAGTACTGTGCTAGGTACTCTGTTTAAGATCTCTTCTTTCCCTTCAGAGGGCTCATTGTCTATTAGGAGTGGCAGAAATACAGACACATATTTGCATCCAGTGTAAGAATCACAAAAGAAATACATGTAAGCGATTAATGGAAGATCTAGGAAGGACACCTGACTGAGAATGGGCATCAGAGAAGGAGGTGGAAACAGGTCAGGATGGTTTCAGAGAAGACATAATTCTCAAGCTGAGAACTGAAGCACCTATGGATATTTACCTGACAGACACTGGAAGGAAGGGTATTCTGAGCAGAAGAAAGGACATGTGCAAAAACATGAACACATGAGCAAGCATGAGGTGTCATAAGACCACTAAGTGATTCATAGATCGGCCTAGGGGTATGTGAGATGGTGGGCAGGAGATAAGAATGGAGATGCTGGGAGCATCTGAGTGGCTCAGTAGGTTATGTGTCTAACTCTTGATTTCAGTTCAGGTCATGGTCTCAGGGTTGTGAGATCAAGCCCTGTGTCAGGCTCTGTGCTCAGTGGGGAGTCTTTTGTAGATTCTCTCTCTCCCTCTGCCCCTCCCCCTGCTCACACTCTTCTCTTGCTTTCTCCTTCTCTCTAAAATAAATAAATGAATCTTAAAAAAAAATAGAATGGAGATGTTGGCTGTGAAGGCTTACATTTAGAGGACTTAGTATTTTGTAGTCTGAATTCCCTAATCAGATAAAAGCCGAAGGGGCTAGGGGTTAATATTTCCCCCACACTTGTATAATTATAGCTGGTTTAATTGAGAATATTTAATTGATTAATGTATAAAAATTAAATCATTTTACTTCTCCAATATCTGTTACCAACTTTGTTTCAACTCTATTTCTCAATGACGAGTAGGCTTCCTTAATGGCATTTCAATTTAAATCTCTAACTTATTATTTATTAGTCCTTTCTATTTTAAAATGTTATGTTTTATTCAGACTTCTGTCCCTCCTTTTAACATAATTAGGGCTTGGGTTCTGCCATAGTGTTCTGGAGTTGACAGGGTTATGGTCTGCTTTCTCTCTCATACTACCTCTCTAGGTGGTCCTTTCTCTTGGATTTCTCCTCTGGTAGTATTGAGGCAAGAAGAAACAAAAAAAAAAAAAAAAGAGGAAACAGGGAGTGGCATTTCTTCACCATTCTACTGTGGCTGTTCCCTTTCCCTTGGTTATCTCTGGTGATGTAGCCTGAATGGATGGATAACCAAACATGCACCAATGATGTTAGGAGACTCTCACAGCTCCTCTAGACAAGTGGTTCCCTGCGAGACTCAGCTGTTTCTCCCACAGAACCCTTAGCAATAGCACACTATGCCTTGACATTCACCCAGCACTGCCTGAACCACAGCAATCCCTCCCATCCCCAGAATCCCCATTTCTCATCTCTCCTCAGCAGCTTCACACCAGAGGCTTGCAGGCTGAGCAGCAGCCATCTTTCTTCCCCCTTATGTGGAGCTTACCAAACACAGTCCTTACCTCTTTTCTCCTTGGCTGACCTTCTTGTCTTCTCTCCCCATGGTTCCTTTCTAACCTGAGTAGCAACAGGGCAAGGTAGCAAACTCCTTAGCTAAATGGACACCCACCTAGGGGAGAGATGTTAGTCTTTGCTTTGTGGAAGAGCATAAATATCATAAATACTTTTCATGCAGTTCCCTTTCTTGTCGTCAGCTAAGGAAAACCCTTGCATGTCCTGCAAACCATAAGAAAGTGAGCAAAAAAAAATGTGGCTTCTCCACGGGCCCTGCATTCCCCCCAAAAGGACTAATCCTTCCCCTGGTAGCCCTCCTCCTCTGTTTGTGATGGTAAAGGACATCAAACCACTTTAGTTCCTCTAGTAAACAAACAAAAACAGAGAGATAGAAGCAATAGGCTAAATATGAATTTAGCTCTGGAGAATTAAGTAACTTTTTCCTCAACAAGACAGTATCTTCATCGTAACATTTGTCCATTAAAAAAAAAGGCATCACAAGTTCTCAATCAATATTTCACAGCATTTGGTTCTGTATAATATTTCAGGTGGTCTAGATTCTAAATTGTAGTTAGACTCCCTGAGTTTAAATCTGGGCTCAGGAACTTACTAGCCATGTGACAGGAAGTTGCTCCTTTGTTGTGTGTGTGTTTTTTTTTTTGCTTTTATATGCCTCAATTTCATCATCTGTAAAATGTACATACTTAATATTTCCTTACAGAGTTTTTTTCTCAAGAATTAAAGTTATATTATTTTTTATAATAGCATTGGCATTATATGTGTTTACTATAATATAGTAAAATGTTCATTGCTGTTGTTGTTATACATAACATACACTTAATTTATGAGGTAGTAGAGTTTTATGTTCATATTTTTTAAAGATTTAATCATTTATTTATTTATTTATTCATGAGAGACACAGAGAGAGAGAGAGAGAGGCAGAGACACAGGCAGAGGGAGAAGCAGGCTCCATGCAGGGAGCCCGATATGGGCCTCGATCCTGGGACTCTGGGATCACGCCCTGAGCCAAAGGCAGATGCTCAACTGCTGAGCTACTCAGACATCCCTTTACCTTCATGTTAAATAAGGATTCATTAAAACAGGGATTAGTCACATTACTGTACTTTGGAGAGACATATTCCTATATACAAAGGTAATAATCATTTGTGGAAGCAATCCAAATCATTGCGTTTGCTTCATTGCTGAGTTTTTATATGTGAAAGTATTTTAATTTCAAAGATTATACTTAAATACTCATTAAACACAATAAAGAATAGTGTCAGTCTTTTCTATTTATCAGTTTACCCTCAGCTCCAAAGGGAATAATATAGGACCAGAATAAGAAATGCTCTCACGTTTCTGGGATATATATCTCAGAACATTTAAGACAAAGACACTACTACATAAACACAAGAGGAAATAGTCTCCCCAGCCTGTGAACATTCTCCAGTTGCACTTGAGAATGCACATCAGTGGGCACCTGCAGTGCAAGTGTGTGTGGCCTTGTGACTGCACCCTCCATACCAACCCCTGTCGTTTCCTCTTTCTGGAAAGTGCCATAGTTTAGAAAAAAATATTCCATAAAACTTACTCATTACATTCTCCAAAGCACTGTGATCAGTTTTGAATTCTGCATGTTAAATCGGACATGTGGACTGGGCAAGGAAAGAACATCCAGAGGTAACAATGGAATAGGACAGCATTCTATCAAGAAAACATTGACAGGGTTAGGATTCTATAATATGAAGAAAGGGGCTCATCATTAATGAGATTACATTCAAAATGTGCAACTTGTTGGGAATAAAAATAGTTCAAATTCATAGATGTTCCATCAAGGGAAGAGAAAAGAAACTAACATTTATCAAGTGGTTATTAGGTACCTGGTGTGTTCTCATTCTCTCTCTCTCTCCTTATCCATCTATCTATCTTCTCTAATTTTATTTCTAAAATAGTTATATGAAATAGGCATCCATTTTTCTCAATCTTGATTCTCAGAGAGGTTAATTAATTTTCCCAAGGACCCCTACTGAGAAAGTAGCACAGTTTGGATTTGAAATCAAATTAAACTCTCCTGTAGAACAGTACAGCATGAAAAGGCTTTATTGAATGGAGAGCACTGGTCACACCACTCATAAACTGCATCAGGATAGGTTGGATAGAGTGAAGAACTTCCTGGGACTTCCATTTTAAAAATGATAAAGAACTAGAACTGACTGTAGAAATCATTAAACAGTGATAATAACCCACCATCTGGCGTGGATTTAGAAATCCATGTACCTGGTAGGTAACTGAGGTATTTATGGTAGATGTGAGAGTATGGGGACTGAGCTGTCCACTGGTCTCTACTTCACCTTTCTTGTTCCTTACGAAGACTTCCCTTAGCACACAGAATGGCCGTTATTCCACATAGTTATCATGAACACAGAGAAGATTTCCTCCAACTAGTCTAAATAATGGCATTTTCTTCTAAAGCTATTTCCAAATCTTTTCTTCCTACTCACAGAACCTTATTAGCAGTTTCCCAATAAATATTTTTTTAGTCTTTTGCATTGTTTTCCACTTAAGTGCAATGACCTCTGTGATAATCACAATCACCAATTCTAATTCTGTGCTGAGAACAAAATACAAGAGTGACTCCTTTTCAAATTCAAAAATGGTATTCTCAGCTATGCTCCATTGTTTTAACAGATATAAAGCATTTTGCCTTATACTTAGCAAATCATGCACTATGAAAAATAGTGTTCCCAGCAGTCATGGAAGAAAACTGACTCTGAAATCAAAGAATTGGTTTTGAATCCTGGCCCCTCTGCCATCTGTTGTTAATCTTAAACAGGATCTTCCCCTCTGTAAGCATGAGTTTCCGCCTTAGCCAGGAAGGAGGATAGCACAAGACTCACTAGCTTTCTGCAGAAGTAGCAGGTACATATTAGACTCTCAATACGTTCTAGCAGAATATATACTTAGTCTAAGTGTTCTGAGAAAATAAAACTTTTATAGCCTAAATTAGTTTGAAGATCCACATTGGAGACCCTCATTGAACACTTGCCATTATGTATGTATGTATATGTGTGTATATGTGTATAATTTTATTTATATAGACATAAAACATTTCTGTATATAAAATAAAATACTGGAGGTAGAAATAATTTTGCATTGCTGGAATGTTTAGAAGGGGATACCTCAGTAATTCTCTACAAGGCTCAAAACACTAAATTTGATGCTATGCTAAGTGTGCCCAGCTGGTCAACAGAGAAATAATGTGTCATACAATCATTGTTACTGAGCACATAGTGGGAAAGTCGTTTTTCACTCTGTGTAGGCCAATGGGTCTTTAGCAGGATTCCCATTAAGGTGTTATACCACTGAG